AGATGTGTATAATAAGATGGTGTCATCTCGATCGGACCCACTTTCGCCCCGGTCCTCCCCCTTTCGGACATCTCTGGATTTGCCCCTGAATTGGCTTGCATGCCAGCAACTAAAGAACGTGGCTATTTATTTTTAACATTGTTCTGTGTATATCAATTTAATTTCTTCAATTTCAAACGAATGACCGCTGAGTTTCGTATAATTTTTGTAGTATTTCAAATGAATGTACCCACTGTTGTCTTCTAATCGGATTAAAATCTGGCCGAATTTTGGCCGATATCGAAAAAAAGTTTGGCCGCATTTGGCCGTGAGATGGCGTGTGTTTGGCCGTGAAGCCTGTCGACTATCTGGCAACCCTGAACCCTGGTGTGTGTGCCAAGTTTCATAGAATCATACAGTACTTGTTTGTATCACAGTATCACGAAGTGTACAATTTTTCGACATTAAACTGCTGCACTAATAGTAGGCCTATTTCAGTAGGTATTCGTGATGTTACTTCAGAGGTCAAGCTATATTAATATATTATTGCGGAGGTGTTCTTTAATAACATGTCCAGAAGCAGTAGAAATACGTAGGCCTTGGCCCTGGCCCAGGGTGATCCGCCGGAATTGCAGGAGGAGTACGCAGTGTCCAACCAAACTTCAACGGGTAGGCCTAGGCCTACGGTATTCCTCGACAATTGCTCACCCGCCTAATAATAAGGCTACTGCCATATACCAACAACATGTTGACGACGACACAATTCATCTCATATATAACGACTATACAGAGGCACGCTATCCATTCGTTTGGTTAAGGGATAACTGTCAGTGTTCAGAGTGCCATGACAAGACGTCTCTGCAGAGACTTCTCCTTCTGGAGACTCTTGATATAGATGTCAAGCCAATCAAGGCAGAGATTGATTTTAGTCATCAGTCGATTATTGTTCATTGGTCAGACAAACACAGAAGTGAATATTCGGTGAACTGGTTAAAGAACATTAGACTCACGTCATCAATGGATCCAATTGATGGACTCGTTTCGAAGTACTGGGGTTCTGAAATGACCGTGGACAAAATCCCAACTTTTTCTTTCCATGATATCATGTCGGATGAATCTTCTCTGTATTCTTGGCTTGCAAGTTTGCATACGTACGGCTTAAGTATTGTGAATGATCTTGGAGACGACGACAAGAACATAACTCGTTTGGCAAAGAGAGTGACAAATCCAAGAATGACATGTTATGGGTAGGTGTCTGTTATAATATCCTAAAAACGATCCGACAGAACATAAAAAACAAATAAATAATAGGAAGATACATTTCTACCACCTTGTTCCTCTAAACTTCAAAAGCCATTTGTTTCCAATTTCAGTAATGATTTTGTTGTCAAATCAAATCCAGAACCAAATAACCTAGCGTACACAGGATATCGGCTGCCCCTACATACCGACTTACCATTTTATCAGCATGAACCTGGGGTAAGTGTTCTTTCTCCTTTGATAAATATTAAATATGGTAACAAGGGAAGTATAAACATGTTACAGTTCTTCCAGTGAGCATCACATACAGTAGAATGGACACCCCTCTTCCAGCACTGTTCAATATTGACTTGAAATTCATTTTAACACATAGAGAGTAATCTTCTGGTTACTATTTGTCTTATTAGGTCCAGATTTTACATTGCATCCGAAAGAGTGAATACGGTGGAAAAAGCGAGTTTGCAGATGGTTTTAAAGTGGCTTATGACTTACAGAAAGAAGATCCAGAAACATTTGATACTCTCAGTACTGTAGCAATCTCATTCATAGACCAAGGATTACATGAGATATCAAAGACAGACTATGCTTTGTGTGATTGGAAACCTATCATAAGGTAACTACTTCATAAGTTCAAAGTTCATAATGAATTAATTTCAAATTAACCAAAGACCGGACAGGCGGAATAATGAATAAATTGATGAAAGGAGGGATGAATGAATGAGTAATGAACGAACGAATGAATTTGGTCATGAGTCTACAGGAGCTGTTGCTTCGTACAGGTCATTCCATTCATAGAAGAAGCCCGTAATGGTGAAAGCTTACCTGTTTATTATATTAGCCGTAGTAACCTAGGTCAATGCAAACAACAACACGGCTTCCTACATGGTAGATCATGTGAAACGAATCTCGCGACACTAATGTCTACCGTGTATGAAGCCATGCACTCTAAAAAACAATGCGATATCATATACACAGATTTCAGTAAAGCCTTTGACAAATTGTCACATAAATTGTTGCTTTCTAAACTTCATCAATATGGTGTCAATGGCATTTTACTTTCTTGGTTTAATTTCAAATTAACCAAAGACCGGACAGGCGGAATAATGAATAAATTGATAAAAGGAGGGATGAATGAATGAGTAATGAACGAACGAATGAATTTGGTCATGAGTCTACAGGAGCTGTTGCTTCGTACAGGTCATTCCATTCATAGAAGAAGCCTGTAATGGTGAAAGCTTACCTGTTTATTATATTAGCCGTAGTAACCTAGGTCAATGCAAAGTAAATCCTTGCCGAGCGACTAGGGCTCATACTGTAGGGCTGGAGCTTTTCCCCAGTTTCTGCAGCGTGAAGTGGATGAGAGTGTAATACTCCCCCTGGGTGGGATGCTGGTCCATTGCCGGTTACTTACTCCCAGCAATTTGTTGGTATCCATTGATACCGCTGGGTAGACTGAAGCAATGTAGATAAAGTGCCTTGCTCAAGGACACTTAGCAAAATGCACAGTGAAGTATTGAAACACAGACCTCCAGGTTGGGAAACCAAACCATTCCCACTGTGCCAAATCTCTTAAAATTAATTAATACATAACTCTGGCTATTTAAAATTGATTATAAGATTGAAAATTGTTAATCTTATGAATGAAGTGATTAATATGTCCATGTTTAAATTAATGTTATTTATTAGTTAATATACATTTAGGATGTATTTGTTTAAATAGGAAATACTATATCTAAGCTATATTTCAAATAATCTAATCTATTAGTGGTATATAAATTTAATTTAGTGTATAACATAATATGAAATGTTATTTTTAATATGAAAAATAATTATATAGCATAGGCTAGAGGCCTATTAAATAATTTTAAAATAAAGTAGATATAATGTTATTTTTTTATATTACTAATAGATTCATTAAGAAGGAAGAAAAGCAAAGAGATCTCCAGCTATTGACAAAGATTGTTTTATTGATTTTGTTTAATTTTTAAAATTTTTTTTGCAATTTGATTGTTTCAGATTAAATCGGAAGGGTCAGATTCAACAGATTAATTTCAATAACCATGTCCGTGGCATTGAAATGAGTGTAGGTACTGATAACATCAAGAAAATCTACAGAGCCTTGAAAATATTTAACTCGGCCTTATACAAAGAAGAAAATTTAATTTCCTTTGCACTACAAGAAGGTGAGTTTTACAGTACCAAGGACATTTAACTATACAAGAACAGTCTCCAAGTTGACAATGACATTTAACTTGCACTTGGATTGGATTTCTTTGGTGTGATACACACCATGGATAACCCAGGAAAGTCCTAAGACTTATTTCCAGTGGGGTCCTTCTGCTGGTGAATTTGACAGAACAATGGGAGACAATCACCTACTCTTTTCTGAAGAGTGTAAATGCGTTCTTTAACATGCTGTGGTATAGTTGAACCCGATTCTCAAGTCCCTCTGTAGACTATACACAAATATAAAGCACAAGTTCTGGTTTCTCGGTGTTCAATCTATACTTTTATTCAGATTTCACGCAATCTAAAAAGCGGAGCAGATATGTACAAGCTGTTTCTATAAAGCAGTGACAATTCTAACTCATCAAGGAGGGAATCTTAATTATTATACTGGGTTTTAGTCCCTCCCCTTACTCTACTCTTAATTACTAAATACTTAATCTAATTGGTAGAATCTTAACTTAGTCATCCCTCATTTCGTAATGTCTGTCTCTTATACACATCTAGATGTGTATAAGAGACAGATCACGAAGTATATATTCCTGAAGGACATTATCACATGCCCCTCCCCGGAACGAAGACTGTGTCAGTCTTGAAGAGCATCAACACGTATAAAAAATTTACTAAATTCATATAAATACATAAAGCGAAATCAAAATTGGAGGTGAAAGTAAAATTCAATCAACGTATGTTAAGGTCACCAATTGGATTATATGAATATTCAAAGTTCAAAATATTAACTGTATAAAAGTTGAGGATTTAAAAAGTAAAATGTTCGCAGCACATCGTCATCAATTTCTGCTTGTCCTTTCAAGTTAATCAATGTTCAAAGTTAATGAAAATAAATGTTCATCCTCCTTAATTGTACTGAAAAACATGATAGAGTATCTTATAAACAATGTTTTTCAAAGTTCCCAATAATCTTCTTATACCTGCCTCTTGAAACGCCGATATTGTTCAAAATGTCTCAAAATCAAAACAAGTAGGTTAGTTTACATGGACAATTTATTGGCAATGCATATGAGAACAACACTTAAACTAAAATACAAATTTTACCAATAATTCTTAACTACAACAAATAATATCCAATGTTGAAATAATCAACGTAAAATAATAAAGGCAAAGGAAGTAACAATGTTTAAAAGAAAATCAACTTATTATGTCATGCACTTCATAAACTTTAGCTTTAATTAAGCTCTACTTAGGCCATCAGCATTTCCATTTATGCTGCCCTTTTTATATTTAATCTCAAAGGTATAATCTTGTAACATAATTGCCCATCGCATAAGGCGATTGTTATTGTTTTGCATTGACTTCAACCATTTGAGAGCTCTATGGTCCGTTTCAAGTACAAACTTTCGACCATACATATAGTATTTTAACTTCTTAATCGCCCAGATAATAGCCAAGCATTCTTTTTCTGGAACAGAATATCGCTGTTCCCTAGAAAGTAATTTACAGCTTATATATGCAATTGGATGTTCTACATTATCATCATCATATTGACATAGGACTGCTCCAAGACCAAATTCAGAAGCATCAGTTTGCAGTGTAAATGGTTTTGTAAATTCAGGGGCCTTAAGTATAGGATCAGTAGATAATTTTGTCTTTAAAGTATTGAATGCTGTATCACAATCACTGTCCCACTTCACAGTATTGGACTTTTTAGTGAGGTTGACAAGTGGGGCAGAAATGTTAGCATAGTCTTTAATAAATTTCCGGTAGTAGCCCGATAATCCTAAAAAGGCTCTTACATGTTTCTTAGTTAGTGGTCTCGGAAAGTTTACAATTGCTTCTACTTTATCTGTCAAAGGCTTTATTTCTCCATTGCCGACAATATGACCCAAAAATGATACTGTAGCCTGTGCAACTTTGCATTTTACTGGCTTAGCTGTAAGTCCAGCATGACCTAGTCTACCCAATATATCATTTAAGTGAGTAAGGTGTTCCTCCCAAGATTGACTATAGATACATATATCATCGATATAAGCTCTGTTAACACTTTGTCCATCAGTCTTTGGAATGTACTGCTACTATTTTGTAACCCAAATTGTAACACGTTGTTACAGAACTGTCCAAAGGGAGTAATAAATGCAGATTTATGTTTTGACTTATCGTCTAATGGTACTTGGTAGAAACCCTTAGTTAAATCAAAAGTGGAAATATATGTTGCCTCGGTTACATCATCTATAATTTCGTCAATATGAGGCATAACATATGGGTCTCAGTACGTTTGTTTAATTCTCGGAAGTCAGTCACTAGTCTAATTTCTGTTGCCGACTTTTTAATGGCAATGATAGGAGATGCATAAGCACTTGTAGTGGGTTCAATGACTCCCAATTCCAACATGCTGTCTATTTCTTTCTTTACTAATTCTTTAAGGGAGTGTGGA